TCATACACTACGGACAATTTAGCCTACCCAATTCACCTGTACTGCATGTCTTTGGACTGTGGGAGTCACCGGAGCACCCGGAGGAAACCCACGCGAACACAGGGAGAACATGCAAACTCCACACAGAAACGCCAACTGAGCCAGCCAAGGCTTGAACCAGCGACCTTCTTGCTGTGAGGCGACAGCACTACCTACTGCGCCACTGCGTCGCCCTTCACATTTTTTATAGACTTCTGAATTTTATAGAATTCTGAATTCATAGACTGCAGATATTGGGTTTGTAAAAATACAGTTTCAAGTTTTCAAGATGAAGAAATTCAGAACATCAGAATTGTAAAATTCAAAACCAGAAATTCAGATTCAGCAGAAAGTTGGTCGTAGTGGATGAGTGTGTGTGTGTGGGTTGCAGCTGGAAGGGCATCCACTGCGTAAAACATGCTGGAATAGTTAGTGGTTCATTCCACTGTGGCGACCCCTGATAAGTAAATGGACATAGCCGAAGGAAAGTGAATGGATAAATGAGTTTTATCAACTCTTAACACATTTTTTCCTAAATTTATTTCAAACTAATGTCAGCAGTTACATTGGATATAGTGATTTTTCAGTGGATATGAAGAGTTTTCTGGAAGTCATTGATGTAGTCTGATGTGGTCTGGTGTGTGTGTGTGTCGTGTCCTGCAGGTGCATTTGGGCTCTGGTGACCCGTTCACCCCTGGGTTTCCCTCATTTAACCACACCCAGTTCCCATCCACACAATCCTCAGGCCTGCCAATCATTCCGGCTCAGCCAATCAGTGCCAATGTGGCTGCCAAACTGCTGAGGTTTGCCCCGCCCACTTTTTCACTCTCTAAATATGAGTGATGTACAGGAGAGGACATGGAGCTGTGTGTGTGTGTGTGTGTGTGTGTGTGTGTGTGTGTGTGTGTGTGTGTGTGTGTGTGTGTGTGTGTGTGTGTGTGTGTGTGTGTGTGTGTGTGTTTTTCTCTGTTGTGTGTGTGTGTGTGTGTGTTTCTCTTTGTGTGTATGTTTTTGTGTTTCTCTATCTGTGTGTGTGTGTGTGTGTGTATGTACAGTAAGTTTGTGTTTCCCTAACTGTGTGTGTTTCTTTCTCTATCTTTGTGTGTGTGTGCGTGCGTGTGTGTTCAGTCAGCTCTCAGGTGCAGTGTGCCCGCGGGGTTGGCAGGGTCGTCTGCCGTATGTTCAGTGTGTTCTGGGTCCGGGTTTCTCTGGTGTGGGTGTGCGGCAGCTGAAGATGGCCGTCTACAACAGCATGAAACCTGTGCTGCTCAACAACATCTTCGCCTCTATTGAGGGAAAAGTGGAGCCCGGTCAGAACAACAACACACACTATTATTAGTATTACAGTATTGTTTAAATATTGCTGGTATTATTATATTATTATTTTTAAATGATGACATTATTATTATATTATTATTTTCTAATTGTTACATTATTATTGTTGCATTATTATTGTTGCATTATTATTACGTCATTACATTATTTCTAAATTATTGCTACGTTATTGTTACATCATTGTTATGTTAATATTACAATATTATTATGTTATTATTGCATTATTTTTATGTTATTATTACATAAATGTTACGTTATTAAATTAAGTTATTATTACATTATTGTTACTTTATTATATTGTTATGTTATTGTTAAATATTTGTTACATTATTGTAACATTAT